TATTATTGTGTTCGTAATTGTGATTGAATCGTACCATCAGTGAATGATTTTTATTTAAAATTCAAGCCCCGCGAGAAGGAATATTGCCACCCCCTACTTCGATTATGATTTATCGAGATATACAAATGTTAGAGGATTGTGTTAAACCGGGAACAAAGATATAAGAAATTAGATTGTGGCTTTCAGCCAGCAAGCTGATAATGAGTTTCTGAGTGGTTTCAAGGAGAAGTTAAACTATAAACAACTTCCGAAAAAATGGTACTATCCTCCGTTCTCAAATGGATAATACAGCTATTGTTACAGTGTGGCAGCTCCTACAAGTTTTTGTTGCGTTTAGTGCTTTGTTAGTCTGTGAATCGCCTACAAAACAGAGGTGACTTTCACAAGATCTGTTAAGTAAAGGTGTGACAATGCCACCACGAAAATGATGCTGGTCTTGAGGCTTAAGTTTCTTTCCATGTTATTGATGATCCACTGACAGCACGGGCATGCCAGTATCCCCCATGGCCAAATTGTTCTTAGCCAGATAGGCTACAGGATATACTCTTCCTCTCTGTCTCCGAACTTGGTAAATTTACAGGTTGTCTTCTATTTCATCGGGTACAAGCAACTTTTCAATGGCAGCCTGTTCAGGAATCAAATGGACGCTCAGAACCATGATATGCTTGGTAAGAAGTACAAGAAAATTTTAGTTTCTTAAGAAGTACAAGATGAGGTCCAGATACTATGCCAAATTGCCAATAAAGAAGCGTACCCAATTTTGCATAAGTAAAAGAAAGGAACGATGAGAAAGAGGGAAAAAAGGGTTGGAATATTAGCCAATCACCTTGATTAAAGCAACATCAGTTGCAGACGGCTTCAAATCCAAAGCAATACCAAAATGAAATATGGCCTTCTCATGCATATTACGCTGCTTATAGATCTTACCCATCAAAGCATAGACACTGCTTTCATGGGGGGCATACTCCTTAAGCTCCTCTAGGACTTCCAGTGCTTCATCAAACTTTTCCAAGCTCATGAGTATATGAGCCTTCTCATACATGGGAAGAGGGTTCTTCTTGTCTGCCAAAATAGCCCTCTCCATCATCATAAGAGCTTCCTCACTTCTCTGTAAGTGGTAGGGAGAAAAGGGTTAAGATGGCTACTCAGGATCACATAACTTCCTCAAGCTAAGATATAATAAATATAATAAGAAGACAAACCTTTAAGGCATGCAAAGCCGCTCCAAGATAAGACATTATAACAGAAGATCGTGGATTTATTAGAAAGGCTCTGTGGAAGTGATGCTCAGCAAACTCAAACTTTTCTTGACGAAGAAAGATCATTCCAAGCCCATACCAGGAATTATAATGCCTTGCATCGATCTGGAGGGCACTCTGGTAGCTCCTGAGTCCATTCTCAAAATCCTCTAAAGCTACATACCTGCAGGTAAAATTGTAATACCAAAACTTCAATCCAGTACTGAAATTTGTACTGTAAAGACTAAAATTAAGACAGCCCACTGAGAAGGAAAGAGCTATGTCATACTCATGACCACAAAGGGTATGTGCATAGGCAAATCTTGAATTTAGTTGGACAGCTCGCTGGAAATTTTTCAGAGCAGTTTCATGGTCTTTCTGCAAGCTGTAACAGTTTCCCATAGCACACCTGCACAGTTTGATAAAAAAGATATCAATGTGATGCTAATGACTATTAGAATTCTGAAGATCATAGCAAGCAAAAAACAAATATGTGAAGGCTTTTTAGGCCTCTGAACTTTAAAATTAGCTAAAAACATATTACTAGTTATTAAAGTAGGTCTCTGCAGCACAAAACAGAAGGATCACAGAGTCCATGTTATCAACATACTCAGTTAAGGTTTCATTAATGTTGCCGCTTCACTGTTATTTAACAGAAGTCCACTAAATTACCATGATTGAGGAGCTAGGCGGTCAGTTGATATCAGTTCCTGAGCCAAGTAACTCAACTTCATATCTTCCTTTAAATGCTGTGAGAAAGGTTAAGACAACTTTTAAGAACAGTACTGCAAATTGTAGGCAACTATGCAGAATTCAATACTCCCAACAGCTTAACATGATACTTCAAGGATTAAGGGAACTCACATATAGAACAGTTGAATACATATCCATTCCTTCTAAACTATAAGGTGATACCCGATGTGCAAGACTGAATGCCCGATCAGCTTCTAAATAATCTACCAACTCAAAATATGCTTTTCCAACCTGCATAGATTCTCAGAAATATCATAAGTGAAATAAAGTGCCAGCAGATGACACAAAAAAAAGGGGGGGCGAGAAGGAAGAAGAAAGAGGTAGCTTTACCATTGTCCCACTAGATCTAGAAAGGAGTTAGGATGAATAATAAAATGAAAATTGACCAATCTACGAGATATGATAGCATTAAACCCAATGGCCAATCCAAGTCTCACTTCTAAACCCTTTCTTTCACTCTCTTTGGAACAATTGGGGATAAATTTGGTGGACAAGTGTAGTTAGAGCACTTCAGCAACAAATCTAATAGAAAATAGTTTTTATTTTTTTTTAATACTAGAAGTGTGGGAATTCCAATCCATCTCTAAGGATGAGGGAACATGCACCTAAAAAATTGAGCAACAAGCTTAAGTGCAAGATAACTAATTTCAGTAAGTAATATATGTGATGAAGTTTAGCGATGAACATAGCTACATGACACACATGAAGTGGAAGTTCTTAAGGAATGGTAATGGAATGAAATCTTTTCCCGGTTCATAGCAAGAAAACCCACCTGGTTCTTAAAGATGAAACCAAATTAAAAATAAATTCTAAATTAATCTCAGTAAAATGCATACAACCATTCACAGCTTATTAATGGCATGTGAATCTCACTACATCTAATCTGAGAGCACAATTTGATGAATAGAACAACTCTGACCAACAAAGCATGAGGCAAAATGAAGTTTAAAAATTTAAGAACATTGCCCTGCCAAAATTACCTGGGAAAGCACCCAGCCTGTGCTATAATGCTTGTGTGGTAGTTTCAGATAGACATCCAATGCATCCTGTACCAGCAAGAAGCATATTCAGACAATCAAAACCACAAACTGAGAATAAAACTTCTGTTTATTCTATGGAACTGTATGTAATTACCTGGCACCTATAGTTGCAAGATAGTCTGTAGCCTTCTCCAAGAATTCTTAGAAGGCCTAGTATTTCTGATGCACCAGTCATGACCCTTGAGCCACACAAAGCAACCCCACAAGTTGGAATAATTTCCTCAACCTGCTCTAGGGATCTAGTATCACCAGAAGGTAATGAACTAGAAGTTGTTGATGAAATACTTGCTCGAGAATCATCAAAAGCTTCAATCCTCATCCCTAAGCAGAATTGATAGTTGAGCATTTAAAAGTCACCAAGCAGACACAAGCAGACACAAGCAGACACAAGCAGAGAAGAAACATGGAGGTCTAAAAGCAAAGGATTTGAGGTTCTAAGGGACCCAGGCCAATCAAATGGGTGAGAGCACAATCATGTCTTCAGCAACATAGGGAAACATGAAAGCTTATAGTACCACCCGTAACAGTATAGAATATGCATACTCAAGACCGTGGTATATTGATATATAGCATCAAACCTTTCCACCTTTCCAATCTCACTGATATTTTGAACTTTGATAATGCCTACAAGCAAAGTATAAATGGAATATGAAAGTGACTATCAATTTATAAGAAGATTAGAAGACTCATCACCTTCTTCTATATTTTCATTAGACCAAGACTGACCCTTACGAAGAGTCACAGAACGAAGTGAGACAGAACTCAGCTTGGAACCACCAAGATATTTAGAAGAGTTGTTAACCCCATTTCCAGCTACTGTGGTGGCACCTGCATTAATGTTTGCCCCTGCATCTCCAGCAAGTCTTGTACTTCGCCGTGGACCAGAATCAGCGAATAATCTCCCAGAAATCTGATACAATTCAGGGTGTGGGTGAATTCCAATTTGTGCAACAATGTATGAGATGAATACACAAGATACTGGCACTAATAAGTAGGAAAAGATGTATTGAGATATTGCAGTTACCAAGACAGGATAATAGCAACAGAACAAGCACAAAGATGCTATACCACCAGCAAGAAGTTGACCACAGCTTTCCTTAGAAGACTTGACAATTAAAGCTAATAATATCA